CGGGGGAAGGGCTTTGTATGTTTTAGGTTTTTGTTGGTTATTCTCTTTGTTTTCGTTTCTTGTGTTTAGGTTTGTGTTTTTGGTTTGGACCGTTCGGCCTTTGTGCGCCCGAGTGTCAAATTTATTATCCTGGTGGGATCCGACACTCGGGTATTACCCTGTTGGGGTCTTTTTAGTTGTTTTAGTTGTTTTAGTTTGTTTTGTTGGTCATTTCAATTTTAAGTTTTATTCTAGCGTTGCTAGCGGGAATCTAGGCGGTCTTCTGACCTGTCCTCCCATTTTTATTCTCCCGTTGGGAGCGTTGTATCTTTTGTTTCGCACATTTGTGCGCTTTGATTTATAATAGTTCCTCTATCGTTCCGGAAAAAAAAAAAAAAAAAAAAAAGAGAATGCACATTATTAATTTTTGTATTTTATATATTTTTATTTCCAAAATCAAATATTATAAAATATTAAAATATAATAATAAAATATTAAATGTATTTTTGTAATATACTTAATAAATTATTTAAGTAATTTAGGATAATTCGATTAACAATCGAATAAACAAATTATTTCGGTTCGATTTTAGTTTGGTTTGGGGCAAATCATAAAAAATGTCGACTCTATGAGTGCACATTAATGTTAGTCGATTTGCACATTGATTACTATCAAATTGCACAATATCTACCGAAGACGTCCAAACTTAAATCTTTGTTTTGAATTTTATATTTTGGATTGATTATCCGTTTTTTACTTTTAATTAAATATTGTGTATTACGGCTCGATGTCTTCCTTTTTTAATAATCGAAGTTACTGAATCGACCAAACTATATAAAATTATTATTATTATTATTGTTATATTTTTATGTAAAACTATTAATTATTTACAGGCAAAAAAAATCATACTAAAGCATTAATATTAAATAAAAAAACATTATAATATTAAATATATTTTTGTAATATAAATAATATTTTCTTACTATTATTTTGGTTAATTAAATTGGTAAATTTCGTAATTTGTTTTGTAGTGTGTATATACACACACGCATTGTGCATTTTTATTTATCATTTTTGTGCAATGAACTGAATTGTAATGTGCGATGAATTGAACTGTAATGTGCAATGAAGTGAAAATTAGTAAGCAATGCTTTTAACAATAATGTCCAATTATTATTTTTTTAATAGACAACATATTTACCACATAAATCAAATCAAAATATATCAAAAATTTTGGAAATTGCACTTAAGTCCCTGAGACTTATCAAATTTTCAAAAGTTGGCCCAAATTACAAAATAAGCTCTGGTTTTAAAAACCCCAACAGATTCCAAATTCCCAAACAATAACACCACCTAACGTGTGCATCATCAGAAATCACAATCCAAGATCCAAAACGAGAAGACAACGAAATAAATTATCTACTGAATCGCAGTCATTCAAAACTAGATAAAAAAAAATCCCTCAAATACAGTACTGATGAAATCTCCTCGCCACCGAAGCACCACCACCGCCGGCGGAGGCGAATTCCAAACGAGAAGGCGCGCGTGAAGAAAAGGGATATGATGAGCTTTGATGGTTGCGCGCTCTGGAACGTGAAGGAGGCAAAAATTTGTCTGCCCAAATTGCAGGCATTGACGTCGGAAGAGAGAACCACCAGACGATTCCTTGATTTGGCCGTCGACAAGTCATGGCGACGGATTTCATGCGGATAACGCCTGATTTTACTGTCGGCCGGTCAATGGTGACGGTGTCAGGTCCGGTGGCGGGCGCTTGGGATGATGACTGTAGCGGGTCCGGCGGCGGACGGCTGTTGTTTGCGGCGGCGGCCGTGACGGGGGCGATGAATGAGCGGCAGGAGGAGGAGGGGTGTGTATGTGTGTGCGAGAGTTGTGAAAAAAACCTGGTGCGCGTGTGTGTGAATTTATGTGTGAGAGTGATAAAAAGTAGATAGGGTAGGTGTGTGCTATTTGAAATTACTATATTGCCCTTAATGAATGACAATTGACTAAATTACCCTTAATAAGTTTGACATTAATCTTTAATATTTCATTCAATCATAACCATTAATATGTAGGATCCAATGCTGCAAATTCATTCTCATTTCTTTCCTAAAACACCATTCTCATGTGATCATATATATATATATATATATATATAAGGGGAGGATCCAATGAGTCCACTTTTTAAAATGAGTTCACTCCTTAAAATGAGTCCACTCCTTAAAATATATATTAATTAAATAATAAAATAATTATTAGTTGACTCCGGCGTTGACCGTTGACTTCCGGCGAAAAATCGTTGACTTTCTACGTTGACCGTTGACTTCCGGCGTTGACTCCGACGTTGACCGTTGACTTCCAGCGTTGACATGTTGCCCTTGGTTTGCAATATGTATGAAGTAAATATGCATCCAGTACCATGCATTCAATATGAACTAAATATGCATGAGATATGAATTGCACATGCAGTCCTTATGAACTAAATATGCACCAATAATATCTACTAAATATGCACCTATTATTAACTAAATATGCATCTGTTATGAACTAAATATGCATCATGAATGAACTAAATATGCAGCGAAAAATATGCAATAAAAATGTACATTTTATATAGGTAATTTATGATGCATATTTAGTTAATTTATTATGAATATTTAGGTAATTTATGATGCATATTTAGTTAATACGAAATGCATACTTGTTATATTTAAATTAAATATATAATGATGTTTATATAGTTAATATATGATGCATATTTAGTTAATTCATGATACATATTTAGGTAATTCATGCAAACCCAAGAATATTTAGGTAATTTATGATGCATATTTAGTTAATACGAAATGCATACTCGTTATATTTAAATTAAATATATAATGATGTTTATACAGTTAATATATGATGCATATTTAGTTAATTCATGATACATATTTAGTTCATACGAAATGCATATTTAGTTCATGAACAGTGCATACCTATTTTATTTGAGATCCAATCATAACAATTTATTTGTGTTATTAAACAATTTAAAATTAAAATTAATTATATAATAAAAATCATTAATTATTATATTTAATTTAATTGTATAAAATGTGTATTTTATTGCATATTTTCGTTGTGTATTTAGTTCATTCATAATGCATATTTAGGTAGTAAAATGTGCATATTTAGTACATAAACAGTGCATACATAGTTGATATTATTGGTGCATATTTAGTTCATAAGGATAACATATATAATTTATTTCTGATGCATATTTAGTTCATACTAAGTGCATAGTACAGATGCATATTTACTTCATACACAATGCATACTAAGGGTCAAAGGTCAATGTTGAAAGTTAACGCCGGAAGTCAACGGTCAACGTCGGAAGTCAACGATTTTTGCCGGAATTCAACGCCGAAAGTCAACGGTTAATGCCGGAAGTCAACGGGCAACGCCGGAGTCAACGGTCAACGCCGAAGTCAAAGGTCAATTGTCAAAATAATATTTAAATAATTAAAATAATAAAATAAAGAAATAAGTAATAAAAATAAAGAATTATTATTTAATTGAAGAGTTAATCTTAGCCACACATAATGTACCAATCTAATGGCTAGGAATGGGTCTCACATTCATACTTTAAATATATGGACTCATTGGATCCAATCCATATATATATATATATATATCCTCCCTATATATAATTTCAGAATGCGCTGAGCCTACGTGACTGCTTCTGGTGCTTCGGAATCCTACTTGGCGAAGAATCATGCTTTGTAATTAGGTTTGGACAAATAATATTGATATATTAATAATTAATAATCTAGGTTCGGACATTCCATAAATATTATTTAGCTAACTTAGGTATTTTAATATCACTTGTACTAATATAACCCTTTAATTCTTTGTAATTTTACATAGTAAGGTACTAAGTGACTAATATATCCCTAACTTTTGATTTGTTTCCTTCAAATACTATTGAATTGTAAATATATTTTAAAAATTGATAATTTTTGTCTTATCGGTTTTACATATATAATATATCAAATTAATCATCTTTTGATGATCTTCGATTTGACATCCATATTGTATATATGAAATAAATAAATTATATTTATCTTCATGATATTAAAAAATAATAATTTTAGTTAAAATTCATTAGAAAAATAAAATTATTTCTCAATTGATATATTTATGTTTAATGTAGTTATATGTTGTATGTTAAAAAAATTATTATAATATAACACAGGTAAGAAAAAAATTTTCTCATACTAAAAGTGTCATACTAAATATATATAATATATAAAAGGTATATATAAAAAAATGTCGCACAAATAAAAAGTGTCATTCGAAATATATAATAATATATATTTTTTTATAAAAGGTATTTAAATTTTCAACTACTTTTTCTCATTTATTTTAGATTTTAAGAAAAAAAATTAGCAAGCACACATGTAATACACGGGCGTTGCACTAGTATATATATATATATATATATATATAGATTAAAAATAACATCGAATCTATATAAATATAAAAAGGTTTGATATTTATCTAAAATAGAAGTAGAAATCCCGCCTAAAAATTTCAAAATTACTAAATTAAGTAATTTTTTCGAAAAAAAATCAGAAATCCCGCTCAACTTATTTTTCATTCAAAATTTTAAATTCTAATATATAAAGAAAGCATATTTATTTTGGTATATGTCATATTATTGAAAATCTATACAAATTATTGATGGGAACTTAAATGGATAGCCTGACCAATTCTCCTTATCTCTCCCAAAATAATTCTCTGCAACTCTTTTTAAAGAAGGAAAAAAATCGGCATCTCTCTCCAAATTAAATGGACCGATCAAAATGAAATCCAAACAAATTTACCCCATCTCTCCCAAAATAATTCTTGAATCTCTCTCAAAATTATTGATGGAAAAACTTAGATGGGCCGATCAAAATCAAATCCAAAACAATTCTCCAATTAGGTGCCACGAGAGGAGATGGGAACGACGGAGCTCCATCGGTAATTCTCCACGCTCGATGTCCGACGACGATAACACCAGCCGGGAGGATCTCACCGATTTGCTAGAGAATCTCGGGATTTGCGTGCTGGAGGAGAAGCTACGGCTGATGGTTGGAAAGGTTGATGCCGACGGGGATGCCCAGTTGGACGCTGAGGAGTTCGGTGCCCTGTATGTGGTAGTGTTGATGGCGGAAGCGATGAGGGGTTGGTGAAGAGTACATGCGGGAGGTGTTTAGGGTTTTTGATCGGGACATGGCGGCTTCATCAATTCACGGCGGATGAGCTGAGGTCGTGACGGCGGCGCTAGGGCTGAAGTAGGTGAAGACGTCGGAGGAGTACCAGAGTATGATCGTCATGGTGGACATAGGTAGCAACTGGAGGGTCAACTTCAAAGACTTCCGACAGATGATAGATGTGTCGCGGGTTTGTCAGGGTAAATTTATTTTTTTTATTAAATTTTTTTGTTTTGATGTGAAAATTGCAATTGCCATTTGGTTGGTGTAATTAATGAATTTTGATTCTTGCCTCTATTTTTTAATTGGGCTGAGAAACAAGTAATGTTTTTTTTTATCTGCAAATTGGTCCTGAAAGGTTTCTGGAGAGTACTAAGGGCAGGGGTTTCATGATAAAGCGGTGGCTGGATTCTCGACTCACTATGGCCGAAGCTCCATCCTGGAGGCTGTGACGCGCGGGATGCACCGATGATTGGGGGTTCGATCCACGCGGAGCAGAGGGTAAACATGGTGTTCATGGGGGAGGAGATGTGGGTGGCGCCCCCACTGGATGAGGGGGAAAACGGGTTCGTGCCGGCAGCGGAGCAAGAAAAGTTCTATCTTGGGTAAAAATTTGTTCTTTATTTTCATACGCTCTAATTTTTACGCATTTTGACTGTGCTTTGTGCGTGTTTCTGTGATTCTTGTGGATATGGTGAAAAAACAACGTCGATATTGTTCGTGCAGGATGTAAATAAGGATGGATTTAGGCATAAATTGGCTGTAGAGAATCGGCGGAAAAAAGGTGACTCGATGGTTCATGGTGAAACTGGAGAATCTGTCATTGCCTCTATCACATTTCAGGTCACCTTAATTCAGAATTTGAGAAAGTTTTGTTACATCTTATCTATTTGGTCAAGATTATTGTTCGATTCTTTATTATTGTTCGATTTTTTTTTTTTTAATTTTTTTGGTTATGCTATGGAGATTAGGGTTCAGTGGGTCTGTAGATGCTGCGTCATTGTTGGAATTTGTCGATGTAGGTCATGATTTGATTCTTGCTGCTGATGCATCAGTGTCTTAATTGATTTGGAGATTGTTGAGTACATGGTAGACTTTGATGAGGTGGGATTCGGTCGGTTTACGAGCTTCTGTTTGTGTTTTTGTTATTGATTCGGAAAAAATATTGATTTGTTTATGTATCTTAAAAGATGCTAATTAATGTGAAGTGTTTACTTTTTACCCATAGGATCTAGCAACTCTGGTGATTAATCACACGAGCTACGCAGTTTCGGATGAAGTGGATCATACTTTGATGGCTAGCGGTCATTTAATTCAGTCTGAGGCTATTCTGGGCAGCCAGAAAATCCAGGTAACATTTATTTTTTTTATGTTTTTAATAGTTCTCTGAAGGCTCGCACCAACATGACATAGCTATAGGCTGAAATTATGTTCTTATATGTGTTAGTAGCTTTGTTATTGTTCTTTAATGTGATTTTGTTATGCTTTTTAAGATATGATTCTTTTTAAGATATGATTCTTAGGCTCTCTGAAGGCTCGCACCAACATGACATAGCTATACCTCTTTATTTTGACTAATTTGCAATGCTTTTTAAGATATGATTTTTAGGGCTTCTGTTTTCCATGTGGACTTCACATAGCAAGATGCACTAAGGCACCAATCAAACTGATCAAGCTGTTAATATTGTTCATATTAATATTTGAGTTTCATGGTGTTGTTTTTGTGAGTGTTATATTGATGGTTTCTGTTAAATCCAGACTAGAGAACTCAAATGAGTATGTGCTTAATAGACTTTCTATGATCACGAAAGTGTGTGGTTTGAGGGGTTCAATTGTCTTATTTTTTTGAATTATAGGGCTATTTGGAGATCTATTGTGATTTTATGATGACAAGTTGTCTTTCATATATCTAGAACTAAACTATGGAATGAGTGCAATAAACATGGGGTCTAGCATAACGACACATTTATTTACCAACAATCAATTATTTTTGCATTCTTTTATTGCACTTTGTGGTACCATCCTCTGTTTGAAGAATCACTCAAACATTGAGTTTTTATAATCATAAGTTTCTTCTAGACTTAATTCAAATGAATAGATTTCCAATGAAATTTTCAAAGATTGATAAGGAGTCTTTTATTGAATGCAGTTTTTCCTTGTGTATTTGTTGCATTTTACATCAATATTTTATAAAGCTTCGTATTAACACTTTCCTTTCTGTATAATATAGTGTGTTTGTCTGATACAAGTGTCTGTGACTCTTTAGATTTTTTCTGAATTTATTGGAAATGATGAAGAGGTCAATCTTTTGAGCTACGGAACTGAAAAGCCCGAGTTTAGACAATGGTCGTTGATGTAGAGTCAATAGTCAGTTTTTTCGCATTCCTTGAAAAAAAAAGGCCATTGGTTGAGATCTTTAACACATCATATTGATTGATTATTATATTACTGTTTTTTTTTCTTTATATATATATATATATATTGCTTTGCAGGCAGTGGATTTCAAGAAGTCCGTTTATTTGGAAGTTCTGAAAGTTTTCTCCTCATATCTTTGACTATGTTGTTGAATTTTTGTCTTCTCTGTAAGTAAGATCCAATGTTTTCTGCAGATTGGTAGGTCATTGCATTTTGTCTAAGTTGGTACATGAGTTTGGTTCATATTGAAATATTGTGGGCTTATTTTATATTTAATTCCCCCACAGAGCCTTCATTATACATCTTTCAAGGTTATGGTGTTTTCAATTCAAGGTTGAGTATCATAGAATTGGGTACACAAGCCTAAGCCCATCGCAACATGTATGAGATGATCTAATATGAAATAGATAAAGAGATTAATTCTATTTTACCTCTCAATGTTTTGTACATATGAGATTAATGACAATAATTTGAGTTCAATATGAGAGAGGCAACGCGTTTTTGGTTTGTCGTTTTGGTTTAGGGATTTCTTAAGGAAAATTAGGCTATTCCGTGTTGATTGTACTTTGTTGAGTTCTTAATTATTCACATTAGTTAGTGGAATGTTGTATTATATCTATATCTTTTATTTTATCAATCTATTTATTAATATATAAAACGATAAACAATTTATTTAAAATAGTACTTAAATTTTCGCCTAACTAATGAGAAATTACTGAATTTGGATTTTTCTTTTTTGAATAATCAAGCTTTTATTTGAGTTTGAAATCCAAAAATTAAAAATATTTTTATCCAATCACACTGATTCATTTCCTTATTTATATAACTAAGAACCATACCATATATATCGGATAAAAAATCCATACATGTGAATTAATCATGTAATATAATTGTTGGTGTATAATAATTCCATATTATGTTGTCTCTTACGTCTAAATAAAATTATACTAATTAAATCATATAACAAAAGTAGTCATATAGATTTTAAGGAATCACACAAGTAGTCACATAGATTTTTAAATATATTACACAAGTTTACCAAAATAATTATCTTATGGAATCACATTGTAGTCATCGTACTTTTGAATAAAACTTTTAAAATAAGAAATATTTTGAAATTAATATAATGTAATTTTTAATAGACATGTTTTATGTAATTTTGCACAATTTAAATTTTTCATATAATATTCAATAAATTAATATACGTAAATTGTATTGCATATAGATTTCATATTTTAAATTTATAAATATTATTTACTGAGCATTTTCAATTTATATATATTAATGAATATTTCTTACCCGTACATCGCACGGGATTCGTACTAGTATGGTTTTGACGATAGAACTAATTTTTATTTGAACCAGAGCTATATATATACACGAGAGATAGAGAGAGAAGCCCATTTATTGCAGAAGAAATCAGGATAATTATTTATTTGTTGAGCAGAAATAAATAGCTTGTTTATCTTATTCTAGTCGTCTTTGATTGTCTCCTTTTTGGTTTTATGAAATGGAAAGTGAAGGCATCAACCGAGGCGATGGGTCTGACTCGGTTTTGGATGACACGATGACGGAGTCAAGAGATAGTCGGAGTTGGGTAAGCAGGTCGAGTTCTGATGATTCTTGGAGATGGTTTAATGGAAAGACCGCAGAATTTTCAGACAAATATTATGTGTCGTCTAATCTAAAAAGAGAACCCCCTTTGGATGTTGAGAGTGTTGATGATAATAATGTGGAGCAAAAATTCGACAAGCAGATTTCAAAAGAATCAGCAGCAGGTACGTACGTACGTTATTAATTGTTGGTTATTCTTTATTTTTATTATTATTAAATAAACGAAATACATTGTTTGTTTGGTATTTTCGCCGCATTATTTATTATTAACAAACAACGCTTCTAAAGGATTACTAAGGGCTTGATTGTTTATAAGTTAATTTACCCACTTTTATTTCAACTCAAAATTTAACTCAACTTTAACTCCATCTCACTATCTTTAATATTATTCATATAATTAAATAATACAAACCAATCATTCTTACACATCACATCAACTTTAATTCACTATTCATCCACTCACATAATTTTAACTACCTATCATTTCCAATCATTTCCAATCATTTATCTCTTACTTTTACATCAAATCAATTTTAATTATTTTATTTTAAATATTATTTTAATACATTTTTAAAATTCCACTAACAACTAACTATACCACCTTTTTCAAATTAACTATGGTTAACCAAAATAACTCATTTTGAACAAATTATTTCATAAACAATCAACCCCTAATTTTTGTGAATTGATTAGAAATGGAATTGATGAAAGAGAGGTTTTCAAAGCTGTTGCTTGGGGAAGACATGTCTGGAAGTGGTAAAGGAGTTTGCCCCGCATTCACCCTCTCCAACGCCATCACCAATCTCTATGGTAATTACTAAATTAATATTATATATGTCTTTTGATGATACAAAAAATGGGGAGATTATACGGTCCCGTTACGGAACCATTCCGTCGAGGATAGTTGTTTAATGGTTACAAACCACAACACAATTATTTCGTAACGAGACCATATCATCTTCCCATTTTTTGTATCTCACATATAATTTGCATTATTTTCATCCCGATCGATATGCTACTGAAGCATGTAATTTGAATTAACATAATATCAGACAAATTTCAATTAGAAAAAGTGGCTCATATTTCAAACTAGTATGAGTCCGTGCCGTGCACGGGTAAGAGATATTCACTAATATTTATAAATTAAAATTGCCTATTAAGTATTATTTTTAAATAAAAAATATTGAATCAATATGTAATACAATTAATTATTCTAATTTATTGAAAATATTATCTAAAGTTTAAATTGTACAAAATTACATAAAAATGACTATTTAAAATTAATACACAACTCGTGTGGTGCACATAATTGATAAGAAATCACATTATATTCATTCTAAAATAAGTATCATTTCAAAACTTTATTCAGAAATTCAATTTGATTATAATGTGATTCCATAAAATAGTTATTTAGGTAAAATATTATCATATATTTAACAAACTATGTGTATAATAATTATAAATATAAAATTTATATCGTTTTACTACTTAAAATAATCTATTTTTGTATAAACTATTCAAATAAAAAAAATTAAGTAGTTGAGTAATATATTAAACTATAAATAATTGATTATTTCGTT